AATCACACACCGGCACACCCAACATTGCAGCACATGCATACGAAATAAAAGAGTGAGAAGCTCCAGAATCAAATAAAATCATCACATCCTTACTAGCAGCTTTGCCCTTCCCCTTCACAAGGTCAGATGAAGTGGAAGCTTCAGCCCTAGTCAAGGCGAATACCCTCCCAGCAGTGGTAGGTCTATCACCTCTCGGAGCACCCCTATTCGGTCGATTCCTGGCAGGACAGTTGGTCGACTCATGACCCAATAGCATCTGAAACACCGGATCTTAGTGTGAGGACAGTCCCGAACAAAGTGGGGTCCAGCACACCTATAGCATTTGAGAGTGGCACCTCCACCCTGTTTTCCACCTCTATTAGCATCAGTAGGTTACCTTATGACAGGACCCCCTTGCTGTGGTTGGGACCTATCATATGGCTTCCTCTGACCTTCACCTTTCTTGGACCTAGTTGGTCCCTCAGCAGTCTTCACCACAAGGTTGTCACCTTCCAACTGCTCAACAACTTTCGCCTTCTCAACTAAGGCCGGAAATTCCGTGATGGCCATAGGCACCACCACCCTCTTCAACTTCTATCTTAAACCCTCAGCAAACTTCCTGCATTTCCAGGCCTTAGAAATAGTTTGCGAATAGAAACAAGCCAGGTGCTCGAATCTCATCGCATAGTCAGACATCGACATCCCTCCTTGGTGCAACTGCATGAACTCAGCCTCCTTAGCGTGCCTCACGCTCTCTGGGAAGTACTTCTCAAGAAACACCCTCTTGAAGCACTCCCAGTCAACAGTTACTCCTCGAGCAACCAACATATGGTGGGTGCCTCTCCACCAATGTTCAGCTTCCCCAACCAACATGTAGACGGCATAAGCCAACCTCCTCTCCTGAGAACATCCCAACACAGAAAAGATCTTCTCCATGTAGACACCCAATTTCGTCCGGGAGGCATACAAACAAGATAGACAATTTTAATCTTTTTCACTATTTTAATTTTATTTTATTTTTATTTTTAATTACGTAATTTTAATTTTTTAAATTTATAAAATTTGTAATTTGAATCTTTTCATTTCATCCATTAATAATTAAGATCACAATGTTAGTCATAATATAAATTAAAAGATGACATGATAATTAAAATTTAATAATATTTAAATTAAATTTTACTTTTAATTCTCAGTTTTATCCATTAAACTAATAAATGAGGTGAAAATGAGAATCTAAAATGTGTTTAATATAAATATTATTAAATATTATAATTATGTCATCTATTTAATGTCAAATCAAAATTAATGTTATAATGTTAATAATCAATAGATGAATATTTGACTATAGGACAAAAATTACATATTTTACAAAATTAGGGGACTCGAATTTGGAAACTAAAAATAAAGAGATCAAAGTTGCAAATTTGATATTATAAAGAGACTAAAAATATAATTTACCTTAAAATTAATATAATGTATAAAAAATGAGTCAATCTTGTAACACTGTGTAATTTTAAGCTTTATTAATTAATTATATGATATATATATATATATATATATTGATTAATTATTGAATTATTGTAATTGTTATTACTTTAGAGCTCTAAGGGTTAATAGATCCTAAAGAGTTAAGTTGTTGTTGAGATAGTTTTAGATTGAGTTAAGTTAACAAAGTTTAGAGAATGACATATAAGATTTTTCTTAAGATGTAAGCTTTATAAGTTCATATCTTAAGAAAACTTAGAGAGAAGTTCATATCCTAAGAAAACTTAGAGAGAAGTTAAAGAAAGGGACTATAAAGTTAGAGAAGTTCTTTCTATTTTTGACTCGACAAATTCCTTTTAGATCCTTCCTGTAGCTTAATTGAGTTGAATGATTGGTGATTTAATGTCTTGGGAGTTGAGAATCCGAATTGGAGAATGTCATTTATTTTACTCTTAAAAGATGTTTAGTAGGGAAGAAGTTTTTTCAAACCTAATAATCATGTAAAAATTGCAAATCCTGGGAATAGTTAAAATATATTTAGTTACTCATAAAAGTTTATGAAAATATTCATCCAGGATTCTTGAAAATTAAAATTTTTAATGTTTAGTTACAATATTATATTCCTAGATATAATAATATTTTTTACTGAAATATTCTTTATTAAAATATTTTTTTACTTAAATCATATTACAAATATAACATTAAACTATTTTAAAAAGTTGAAAAGTTATTAATATTATTTAAATACATAATTCGACAAAAAATAAAAAATGCTACATTATTAAAAAATAAAAATAAATAAATAAATGTTAACAAATATCTTTAAAATGTAAAAACAAAATAAACTTTAATAATATTATTAAAATTAAAAAATCAAGAAATAATGAGATACAAAAAAAAAGAGAAATAGAATATGGGAGAGGAATGGAAGAGGCGTGAGAGTGAGGGAGCGATAGAAAGTAAAAAAAAAATAAAAGGATAAAGATGAAGAGCAAAAGAAAAATAGAAAAAAAAAGAAAAAGAAAATATTTTTTATTTAAAAAAACTATAATATATATTATAATTCGAAAAAATTAAATCCTCACCCCTTTTAAAGGAATTTTTTTTGAGAAAGTGTAATAGAATATCACAAAATTATATTTCTTATAATCCTTTTTTTTTATATAAAAAAACTATTAAACATAAGAAATCAAGATTCTCAACTTAAAATTCTTGTAAAATTAAAAAAAAAAAAATTGGTTATCAAACTCCACCTTAATATCATTAGGGATATTTGAGCGAGAAAAACTGAAATTTTATGTATTCGTATCATTTTGGTTCCATGTTAATTCGATTTCTAATACTTTTGAGTAAACAAAGTAGATGTAAAGATCATATTAGTAATAAGTAAATACTTGGTACCTAAAAAGTCTTGAGATTTTATTTTTGACAGGAAAACGATTGCATTTTTTTGTTACATGAGCTAAAAAGGAATAAAGAAAAAGGGAAAATAGCCACTAAAGACAAATATTTAAACTCCTAGAAAAGCAACATTCAGCCTCTTTGATTGCAACATGATGCTCAGAATGTGTTGCAACGTACATGTCTAAGCGTGTGATGTTAGTGTAAGATCACCTTATTTCTTTCTATGATTAAATTCCTATAGAAAATGTACAAATTTATAGCAAATGTACAACAAGAATAATTTAACTTATTAGATAAAATAAATATTTTTTTTTTATATTTGTTACGGTGCTTTCTATTAGACTTTAAATTTATTATATACTTCTATATAATTAAAAGCTATAACTCACTGACCAAATAAACATATTTTAAAAATAATATTTACGAGTCACTTAGACTTAAAGGCTTAAAGCCTATTCTTGATTAGGCTTATCATGTCTTTGATTTTTCAATACCTTATTTAATATCTAGTTCCATAAAAATAAAAATAAAATAAAAAGTTGGTTGGGTCGTTGTTGAGTTCATTCACTTTATCTTAAGATTTTTTTCGGCCTCAAGAATACCATATCCTAAGATTTGTGGTTTGATGATCGACGACGTATCTTTCTTATCACCATCTTTTCTTGTTTGTTTTTCCAACAAAAAGAAAAATTCTAAGCCTTCATCTCTTGCAGATGATGGATCAGACTAATCAAATACCATTTCTGGCTTATAAGTTATCCAATGAAAAGAGGAGGAAATATGTAAACTTGTAAAGTAACAAAATTGACAAAAAACTGAAAAAGACAATAAACATAAATTATTGATATTCGGGGTAATTTTGTAGAAGTGGCACCAGATTATATTGTGGCAGTTAATGTACATGTTCTGCCTGACACATGTACGAAGAATGTTGATAGGAAACGTATTAAATTATTTTTTTCCCTAGAATTATTTTAAATATTCAATAGTTTAACCTAATCATGACTGAAATATTTAAATTAATAATAATATAAAAAAATACTAAATATTCGAGAATTTTTTACACAAATATAATTTTTTTTTTATAAAAATCACGTAAAGAGAATCCGTTACACATTATTTACAAGAGTAACACAGTTTACTGTTCATGCTCAGAATTCGGTTCCCCAGAAATTGAATTCTGAGTAGCGTTATATATATATATATATATTTATTTATTTATTTTTTTGTGTTTTGGGTTTATGTCATATATAACACTACTCGGAATTTGGTTTTCCGGGAACCGAATTTTGACTGTCAAAATTGACGATGCTAGTCACAGAGAGCTCATAATTCGATTTTCAGAAAATCGAATTTTAAGTTTGAACAGTAAACCGTGTTATTCTTGTAAATAATGTGTAACAGATTCTCTTTGGGTAATTTTAAAAAAAAATTATATTCCTGTAAAAAATTCGATATTCAACACACTAATAAAAAAAATTTAAAAAAATATATCATGTAACTGTCACTAATCTTATAAAAAAGTATATACTGTGGCTCACGGTTGGATACTAGTCTACGATTCCTTAAGATTCAAATTTAAAGGTCCCATCCAAAATAGACCCATGAAAACGAATGCAAGTAGGCAACAGATTCCACCGGAAAATAAATAAATATCTATTGGAACACCAATAATGTAGAAGCAACAGATAAACAGCCCAATGAATAATAATGATTTTTCTATCCTTGGTTTCATCGGTGACGCAACCAACAAAATAATATCCATACATACTCTAAGTGGAGTCCATTCCTAGGGTTGTGTGCATAAAAATAAAATAAATAAAAACGACGTAGTTTTTAATTTTACCGTAAACACGCGGTGAAGATATCAAAATTAAGAATTTTACAAAAATAAAAAAAAAATTACTGAAAAGAATAATTTAGGGTTAAAAATATTTACAAGTTGTGACGATAAAAAAAAAAGTTAAGAGAAATAGTATGAAGCGGCATGGAAAGCGGCAGAGGAAAAGGTAGTGTGGCCCCACTAAGAAGCTTCCCAATGAATGTAACCAAAAATTAGGAAAGTATCCAATTCCTAGCCCATACGCCACTCCAACTTTTTTTTTTTTTTTTTTTCTCTATTTAATCCTCATACGCTGTTTCCTTCGCCGATCACTCACTCACTACAACACTCCACATGGCCACTTTTCTAACGCTCCTCTTTCTCATCTCCGCCGCCGCCGCCGCCTCCGGCAGCCGCACCTTCGCCGAAGACTTCCTCCGATTGCCCTCCCAATCCGACAACGACGACAACGACCAGGGCACTCGCTGGGCCATCCTCCTCGCCGGCTCCAACGGCTACTGGAACTACAGGCACCAGGTCAATTCATCGCTTTATTTTTCGTATTTTCGCACCGATTATGAATCACTATGAATCGTTTCAATTCAACGTTTCAACGCTAAATAGATCAAACTATCAACTATGTCTCTTACTGATCATTTCACCTTGGATTTTTCGTGATCACTATGAAATAGTACTCGTTTAGGTCGTTTATTATAATAATTTGTGATGTCTAGAAAGTTTTTCACATGTCCGGTATTGAATTGTTTTTGTAACAAAAATATCCAAACGTACATCGCGTTACTTCAGAATCAATTGTAATCAAAATCAGTTTTTTCACATCCGAGCACGCATTATATATATAGATGAGATTCTTAAAGCAAGAATTTTTTATTATGCGAATATCTAATCTGGTTACTTTAAGTATATTCAAATTATTCTGCACATGTATATACAGTCCCTTGTGATTTCAAGTTTTCTTTTTGTATTATTATATTATTATTACTCTGATGATTTCTTGTAGTTTCTTCCTTGTGCCGATGGAATGAAAAATGATGGAAGTATGGAACGAAGTGAGACATGCATATCGTGGCATGTTTGTGTTCCAGTAATTAAGATTGGCTAACTAAGAAATGAATCTATTATATGCTAACTTATTCTTGTCACCTGCGATTCTCCTGGAAAATATCGACCCAAACTGTTGATTTTTAATTTAAAGTTAAAAAAATAAGGATTATTACATAGTTTTAAAAACCGGACCGGTCATCGAACCGGTTAAGGTACTGGGTCAGTGGGTCAAAGGTTGAACCGGTGGGTCACTAGTTGAACCGCATGACTCAATTTTTATTAAAAAATATTTATATTAAATATATTTATACTTATAAATTTTAATAAATTCATATCTTATTTTAAATTTCAATTTTTCTATCTTATTTAAAATTATTTTTATTTTTATTTTGTAAAAAAATACATAAAAAAATTACATGTTAAACGGTATATTAATACAAATTAAAAATATAAATAATATGTACATATATAATATGCTTGCAATTAATATCACAAAATAATATTTGTAATATTTACATAGATATTGCATTATTAAATATATAATTTAAAATTAATAATATACTGTAAAAGTTATTTAAATTGTATATATTGCAAACAAATATATTAGAACAAGTAGTCAGTCTTATATTTAATAAGACTCCTTGCTTTTTCATTAAGAGATTCAGTTTTCATTATTATTTTTGTGATTTATGGTCCCTTAAAAAAATTTAAAAAAAAATAAGAAAAAAAAGTGGTTGAACCGGTTTGACCCACCGGTTCACCAGTTGAACCGAAAAATTGACCGGTTCAATCCAGTTTGAAACTGGTCGACTGCATAACCGATCCAACTTCAGATTCGAACCGGCGGACCACCGGTTCCCGGTCCAACCGGCCGGGTCGGTCCGGGTTTTAAAACACCGATTATTACACTTGTGCGCTTCTTAGTCATAAAATTGCACCTATCTCCCTTACTTTATATATTATTCTTATCTTATATGTTGACCTCCATTGTTTTGAAAATTACAGATACCTACCCTATTTTTATGTAAGGATCATAGATTTGGATTCCCTACTGATGGGAAAATAACTGCACGGGATGCAGCTCCATCTTTTACCATAGATTCCCCCCTTTAATCATACTTTTGTATAATGGATTAGATTCATGGTTCAGAAACGAACTGCTGGAGATCTTGATCCAAGGATCATACACATAGTGAGAGAGTTACGAAAGAGATAGGTGTAATTAATCATGAATGATGCGAGTTAAAGAGAAGTGCTACGCAGACACTCTTTCATGTGGGTCCCACTAGCTTGGAAACGGGACCTACCAATGGGACCCACATATTTAGTGGGAGTGTGGGACACATGAATTTACTCCAATAAGAGACTGCATGTAGAAAGAAGAGTGTGATGTTAACATTTTTATACTTGTAAAATTTATTATTGATCCCGTACACAACACTCAAATTGGTCTGTACGAAAATATCTGTAATTTAGTCTATTTATGTAAAATCATTTATAGTTTAATCTCTGGCTAAATTGAAAAGGAATGACACATTTAAAGATAAAAAATATGATATTTCCAGCCACTATGGACGATGTTCATTTTCAATTTGGTCCCTACACCACTATTTTATCACTCCAACCAACATAATTACGACATAAATTGAATTTTGTAATTTTTTTTTTCTTAAAGGGACCACATTGAAAATGTGAATCATGTATTGGGACCAAAAATATATCATAATCTTAATAATTTATTTTACCATTTTCTGAATGTATTTGATTGTTAAGTCTTGATGTTTAGTCTTTGTTGTTTTATCAGGCTGATGTTTGCCATGCCTATCAAATACTGAGGAAAGGTGGCCTGAAAGAAGAAAACATTATTGTTTTTATGTATGATGACATTGCATACAATGAGGAAAACCCAAGGCAAGGAGTCATCATTAACAAACCAGATGGAGATGATGTTTATGAAGGAGTTCCAAAGGTAAGTTATGTTAGTTTTTTAGCATCCCATATGTTATTGCTATTTCAGGTTTGATAGATTCTAATATGGACTGTTTTATGGCAGGATTACACCGGTGAAGATGTTACTGCTAATAACTTCTATGCTGCTTTACTTGGAAATAAGTCAGCACTTACTGGTGGCAGTGGAAAGGTTGTGGACAGTGGCCCTGATGATCATATATTTGTATACTATACTGATCATGGAGGTCCAGGGGTGCTCGGTTAGTAGCTCTGAATTCTTTCACAGAATATTTTAAATAAAGTCATGGGTTTTGTAGGTTGTTTATATGGGATTCAGTATGGTATAGACCTTGATTGAGATTATAGCTGACAAATAGTTTGTTTACTTTTGTTGTTTGGTTGATTGTGTTGTGTCTACATTTGCTTGATTGTGTTTGAGTATAATGAAACCTCTAAGTTTTAGTGTCAAGTATGATTTCCTCTAAGTGGTGTTTGTGTTCTGTGGTGCTGGGTACGTTCGTACAATAAAGTGAAATTACAAACATATAAATGATGTATCTTAATAGAATAAAGCGTTTCAAAATTACCTTTTGTTTGTTGGAACTTTTTTTATCTCTAATAATTTGTTGTGCTGTATTTTCAATAAGAAAAAGTTGTTAATGAGAATTTACGCATTATGCATCATAGCAAGACGATATTACTTATTTGTGGATTGATTAATGGTACATTACCTTAAGATCTAAGTGATTATTCAACAAAGTTTTATGGTAAACATTCATCATGTCTTCTAATACAACTTTTATTTATAATGGTGACATTTCAAATTGTACTGAAATGAAAATCATGCATTGTTGTTTTAAATTCTTATTTCTTATTTCCCCGTTATATCATATTGGCACCCATTTTTCTAGAGACTTTTTAATGTCCCGTGATTCAGTAGATTGAATGGTCTCTCTTTATTTCTTTTTTGAACTCATTCGCAATACATGTGTGATGTGTGGGTAACATGAAGGGTACATTACAGTTACCAGAGGAGAAGAAAAAAAGAAGAGGGAGAGAGAGGTGTAATATATGGTCTTCAGTGTTTTTGCTATCCAATTTGTCTTGACCATTGTTTCTTTTCTTAACATTTCCTATTGGATCATTACATGACAAAGTGGTTCTTCCTACCATCAATATTAATTTCTGCTCCGTTCTATTTCATACTTGGTCTTTTTTGGATTTTAGGGATGCCTGCTGGTCCTTACATATATGCATCTGATCTGATCGAAGTCTTGAAGAAAAAGTTTGATGCTGGAACGTATAAAAACCTAGTAAGTTACCAGTAGTTATTAATATCATTATCATTTTCTTAATTTGGTGCCAGTCCCTGTTTAAGCTATTTAACTGTTTTATAATACCATCATCATGTTTGTATTTGATTTTTTGTTTAACTAAATCTTTGAATTTATATATTGGTGGTGAAGGTATTTTATCTGGAGGCATGTGAATCTGGAAGTATCTTTGAAGGTCTTCTTCCTGAAGATATCAATATTTATGCAACAACAGCTTCAAATGCAGAAGAAAGTAGTTGGGGAACATATTGCCCCGGGGAGTATCCTAGTCCTCCCCCAGAATATACAACCTGCTTGGGTGACCTGTACAGTGTTGCTTGGATGGAAGACAGGTATGTGCATAATAAGGAAACATAATTAGATCACAAATGAGATTAATGTGATGCAATACTTATATACCCATGACCCATGCAATCACAAGTAGTTCAATGCCTGTGACTACTCTATTGTGTATCAGTCTCTGTGAGAGTTGTATATACCAATTGCTTATACTTTGAAATACTTTTTATAATAAAATTATTTTTATTTATTTTTGCACTTGCTCTTTTTTTTTTTTTTTAGCTCAGAAGAATTTTATTTTGCACAAGTAATGTAAACTTTTGAGGTATTAATTTCAATTTTCTTTAATTGTGAGCAGTGACAGACACAATTTGAGAACTGAAACTTTGCACCAACAATATAAATTGGTAAGTTCTTTTTGCTAACGTGATTTAAATTTTTAAAGTAAATTGGTATAAATTGAAGAATATAATTCAATTCCTTGATTGCTTCGTTACAAATGAGATTTTCTTTTGTTGTTGTTTCTGTTAAGTTCTTGGTCTAATTTTATGGACAACCATCGGTAGATGTATCAAGAGTTGTGTGACTGATGCTTTCTTTACTAATGTGCTTTCAGGTTAAAGATAGAACTTTATATGGAGATGCATACTATGGCTCTCACGTGATGCAGTATGGTGATGTCGGGTTCAGCAACGATATTCTCTTCCTATATATGGGTACCAATCCTGCTAATGATAATTTAACTTTCGTGGATGAAAACACCTTAAGGTCACGGTCACCTCCTTCAAAAGCAGTCAACCAACGGGATGCTGATCTTGTCCATTTTTGGGAGAAGGTATCTTGTTTGCTCAATATTTATTCTTTATGTTATGAATTAATTGCTTGATCATTTCCTCATCAATGACAACCAATGAACATATGTTAAAAGCTGATAATGGGAACAAACCATATTTGTTTGATTAAATTAATTAATGATCCTGAGTGTTTAGAGTAGAAGTGAAAGAGTTAGTGAATTGGATAGCATAACCAGATAGTTATTTGTATACAGTAGAACTTAACTAGTCAGATATCACATCTGGGGGGAAAGTTCGATAGATTTAAGTACATCTCATGCCTTATTTTATTGAAACTTGATAAGTTGCCAGTAACCTTTTTTCCCTTAAATGTTTGGCACTGAATGCTAAAACTACAAAAAAAATAAAGGTTAAAATTTAATGCCACATTTTATTGGCCATTATTATATATATTCTTGACTTCATCTTCACTATTCATTCCCAGTTTCGCAAATCTCCTGAGGGATCTCCCAGGAAAAATGCAGCTCAGAAACAAGTTCTGGAAGCAATGTCTCATAGAATGCATGTAGACAAGAGTGTGAAACTTATTGGGAAGCTATTGTTTGGCATTGAGAAGGGTCCAGAATTACTCAACGCTGTTAGACCAGCTGGATTGGCACTTGTTGATGACTGGGACTGCCTGAAAACCATGGTATAATTTTTTTCTGATGCCAATATGATAGATAGACTTTTTCATATAAAAATAGAGTTTGTTTGATTACAAGTTATAAGTATTTTTAAGAGTTTTTCTATTAGTAAAAGTTCTTTATTTTCTATAGAAAAGTTCTTAAAAGCATTTTTAAGCTTGTATCCAAACAAATTTAACGAATAGTAGATTGAGATTCATTGCTTTTTTTTTTCTTGACCCTTGAAGCAATGATAATGTTGTGCTTTGTGATGAGTTTTAATTGCTTAAATAATCTCTTTGCACATGAGCCCTACGTTGACTTTACAGTGGTGAGAACCTGGACAAACCTTCCATAGGTTTCTTGCTTGTCACTAATTCTCTACATTACATATTTGCATTATGAGACATTAACAAATAACAAGAGTAAACATTATTGAACTCGAACACAGAATTGGCACTCTTGATTAAAGTAGAGCATCTTCTTGTTCCCTTTGGTTTATGATAAAGTACACACCTTAATCTACTTTTAATGCAGGTAAGGACTTTTGAGACACATTGTGGATCCTTGTCTCAGTATGGGATGAAACATATGAGATCCTTTGCAAACATCTGCAACGCAGGAGTAAAGAATGAGCAAATGGCTGAGGCCTCGGCACAAGCATGTGACCGTTTTCCTGCCAATCCCTGGAGTTCTCTGCAAAGGGGTTTCAGTGCATAATTCCTCTAATATGCACTAGCAAAGATCAAAGTATGATGATTGTTACATTGTGTTATATGGTTGTATATACATATTTTGTCCCTACTCTGTAAATACAATTGGGACACTACTAGGATTGGGAAAGGGTCTTTACATTTTAGTTTGGCAATAGTGCAAGTACCTTTATATAAATCCATTTCTGAGGTTGTCACTGCAAAGAAAGGAAATTACAAGGGATCATAAAGGATCAATTGCTTTGGAATGTCCACTCATGACAAACAAGGCACAAAGTCATGCATGTATGCCAACGCAATAGTATATCAATGTGTCTTTATTTAGTAGGCAACTTGCATATCGGATTTTCCCTTGTCACTTTGCATCAGCAATGACAACCTTTTGTACAATTATTTTATAAGAATTTATCATGTCAAAATTATTGTTTAATATTAATGTTGGCTTGTATTTATTTTTGTGAAACATTGGGACTAAACTATGGCGGAGTATCTTTACAACAGAATAATTACGATAAAGTAATAGCATGACTTTATTAGTTGTATCTAGTGTTGAGGATAATTATTATTACATGGACAATTTATAGTATGACATTAAATTTAAATAAGAATAATTATTACATTATATTTATGAGTTTTATTGATAATTAATTTTTACTAGAAAAATTTGATTAGTCTTTTTTCTTCTTCTTCCTTTTTTTTTTTTCTAACGAGGCTTTTTCTCGGTCATAGTTCTCTGTGTTGTAAAGCCTGTAGTCAAATTTGAAATAAAATGTGTCACATTTTTAAAATATATCTTCAAACAGACTTGTAATCAAATTTTGTTGAAATCATCATAGATGAAGAGTTTCTCTTAAGTGCAACATTATGATTGGACAGGCTGGTTCTATCAGTTTCACTGGGACCGGTCTAGTTTCTAGTCTGATATCTTGAAAAAATTGAAGCATTTCAAAATTGGTAAGAAACAGATCAAACTTGTGAAAATCGATACAAAAAGTTAGTTAAATTGATCATTTTTAATTTTTCAATTTTCAATTTTATTTTTAATAATTTTTCCTTTTAATTAATCTACACATTTTAAAAAATAAGTAAATCTAAAATAAATTATTTTATTTCAATTATTATTATTATTATTATTATTATTATTATTATCATCATCATCATTATCTTATCAAACATAATTTAGTTATTATATTAACATAATTTTTAAAATTATATTTCTTGTAAATGTATATTCTTTTATTATTTAAGATATTATATAATACTAAAAATATAAATTTAATAACCACTGTTTGGATTATTCTCTTCACTATTTCAATTATTGATTTACTGGTCCAATTTTAAATAGATTGATCATAATATAAGGGATCAGATTAAATGTTCTAACTTAACATAACATTTACCTTAAAAAAAAAAAAAAAAAAAAAAAAAGCGAGGCAAAGGATAGAAACAATAGAATTTAAAGAGAATCAAGAAAGGTTGATCTAGTTGAAAAAAGACGAACACACATCTTTAAAAAGATATAAGTTTGATTCTCTTTGTTGAGATGTGAATTTTATTAGTGAATATTTTCTAAGTATCTCTTCTAAACTCTCATATAGAACCTTGAAATCTTATTCGACCCTAGTGAGCTTTGGTAGGGATGAGACTGACTTATAACCTGCCCTAACATATTTAATAAGGTTATGTTTAGATGCCAAAAAATTATTTGAAAAGGTTGAAGTTAAGTTTATAAAAAATTTTATTAAGTTTGATAGGTTAACCTATTTATTTATATAATATAATAAAATTAATATATAAATTACATTATTAATAATATAATTAAATAAAAAAATTTGTAATAAAAAAAACCAAATCAAATTAAGATTTTGTCTTATAGAAAATGAGTTGTATGCCTGAGAGTATGTGAAAGAATGTATGTTAGTTTACATGAGTTGTCCCTACAACTCTAACAAAAAATTATTCTTGTTTTTCTTTCTATGGGTCATTGTACTGTATCCCAATTATGTTCAATATATATTTTTTTTTAATTATGTAAGTTTTAAAAATTCTTAAGTTAGTTTTATATTTTTTTTTTAAATCTAAATTTCAATAATAACTGAGTAATTTTTTTATCACCCAAATTAAAAAATGACCTATAGATGTATTTAAAAAAATTATTGACTTATTTAAAACTAAGTTTATTTTTCTATTTAATATTGCTAATGTAAAATAGTTTAATAGGTCACATTAGATAAATTAAAAAGATTTGCAAATGTATTTAAAAAATATTTGTTAACTTATTTAAAATTAAGTTTATTAAATTATTTAACATTGTCAATGTAAAATAATTTTTTAAATAGGTTGATAGATCAAACAACACTTTTTTAAAAAATATTAAGCTCGCAAAAAAATATATAATAGATAATAGATTAGACTTAAATTTTAATTTTATATAATAGACTCGAGATGTATAATCAAAATATAATCTGATCTGACTTATTATTATCTTTAGTCTCTAAAAACTAATCCACTTAAACTTTATAATACTATTAAAAAAAATATAACGACATAATATATCACTATACTTAATATAGTTTAATTACTATACAACAAAATTAGCAAACAATACTCAATTACCCTAAGGTTCTCATGCAACAATTACTTGATTATTCATGCAATTTATAAATTTATAGAATAGAAAACGCAATACTGAAAATATAAAATCCCCTTATGGGTTATATACGCACCATGTATACATATATAATCTACATCCAACTACCTTAGGGTTCTCATGCAACAATTACATGGTCATTCAAGTAGTCTATACATGTACAAGGTAGAAAATACAATACCAAAAACTTAAAATCTCCTTATGGGATTATATACACACCCTATACACATATATAACCTGCATGAAGTAGATAACCGTATACAAAAGATTCTTAACCGCTAATCAAACGTTTATACAACCACTATATCACATCAAAGTAGCATCACCAAAATTGGGTCATTAACCACATGACCCTCCACTAACTGAACAAGCTATCTTGCTAATCATGTTCTGTTTCTATACAAAGTATGATCTCTGTAATTCCAACCACAAGAAAAATAAAGGGTAAACTTGTAAAATAATCAACATAACATTCACAACAACATCTTGCAACAATACAACATTAACAACTAAATCAACATTCAATGCTACTCAGACTTCACAAATTTCAAGTTGTTGACCGCATCATCATACAAACAACTCGACAACTTATAACACAAACAACTTAACAACTTTAGCATATGATTACACACACACACATATATTCTTAATATAATCAATAATAGGTAACTAATGCATCATCACATACAAAATAAAGAGATATCCTACAACAAAGGTGAACAATTTTAATGGCTAGACCCTATCGAATCACAGTGTCTAACCTATCACAACTAGGTCAACTATAGATAGTGTTAGGCCTCTTATAGTGCCAAGTATATAACTTAATTTGATTTCTCAAGTTTCACCACTTAAACTAAGAAGTATAGTATTCTTGTCAAGATAGAACAACTTGGATATGAACCTATCACAACATTAGCTTGCATCACTAAACTTTTTATGAGATTAGTCCACCACCTACCCTCAAAATTCTATGTCCTTCCAATACTCAATTAGGAACTAAGCCCCCAACCTTATACCTTACTTAGTTGGTCACTTTAACTATAATATGGATCGATCACACCTCTATATTGTTTCACATAAATCCTATAGAGGACAATTTAAAACATCACTCTCCTATAGTTTTTATATATATCAACTAAGACATGTATCTTCATTACTTGTCTAACAACTTAATAGCTTAATTGATTGTAGCATCATACAACTTTGCTACTTAATAATATCAGCTTAAATCTTGGCAACACAAGCATCATTATACGTTATATCAACTTAAAGCATAATGAGTTATCATCATTATTTAACTATTAATCAACTTAAAACATCATGCTTTATCATACTACTCACGTTTGATGCCAATTCATCTGCACTGGTCGTGGATGTGGCACAAAGCTTTTGAGTCTTTCACACTTAACATGGAAAAACTCCATGCTCAACCTCAATCAGGTAGAGAACCCTTGTTTGACTCACACCCAATGTTACTCCATTGACATCTGACGCTAATTCAAGTAGAGACCCTCTCTCTTTATGTCCAACATGATTCAACTCATGTTTGGCATAACTAAGTCGAAGGCAATTCTCTCTCCTCACGCATGTGGCCACTAACTTGACACCATTAGAGTTAAGAGCCCTTGATTTGATCCATGCATGATGTAATGAAGGCATCCCCGACGTGATGAGGAATTATGTACTTGATAGAACCTTAGTTTAGCCTAACCAACCTGAAATTCAGCAAAATTCTAACATGCAAAACAATATGCAACATATAAATAACGTATAAAATTCACTTCCATCATCAAAAATATCATGCACTCATTAAACTTTAAGATTACCATACTCTACATCAAGACACCTTTCATTTCAACAAGAATTCACTCAAACAACTAACAAGTGATGAATATAAGTAACCATTAAACACCATAGTCCATGAATGATCAAACACAAAACTTCCTTTACTTCTAGTTGATCCAAAAAATGAGAAGAGGAGAAGAAGATGGAAGAAGAGCTTGGAAACTTCGCATGGCTCTCAGCTCAGGATTCTTGGCTCTAAAAGCTTCGAATCACCACTATTAAACTCTACTTAGCTACGAGGAAGGATTTGAGATCTTACGGAATTAGGAGGAGAAGAAGAAGTTATCTTTTAGTTCCAAAGAACTTCTCTTTAACTTTTTTTTAAGATATGAACTTATGAGATTCATATCTTAAAAAAAAAATTATATACATTCTTCATTAAGTTGAATCAACTTAACTTTGACTCAACTACTTTAAAAATAACTTAATTCTCGAAATCTCTTTATTCTAGAATTCTAAAACAAAAGTCAAAAATAACAAAGAAACAATTAGACCATACATCACATATAATTAAATTAAAACACCTAAAATACATTGTGTTACATACAATCATAAAACTCTAACCATAAGATCTGATTTTCAACGAGGTAGATTTCAAAAGTTAAATGAGTTTGTGCATTTAATAGTCAAATGATTGCCCAAAAATTAAATAACAATAGTACATAGTTATTTTTCTTACAACTATTCTAAAAATATTTTTAAAATGTTAAATGAAAAGTAAACATATTTGATGTCTGTAAAATATAAAAGAAAAATATTTAATCAATTTATATTTAACGAGTAAAAGAATTAGTTGAGAAATACTCTAAGAGGAATTTTAATCTTTGTGTACATGTTTCTATGGCATACCACAATAATCTGGAGGTATAAAAAATTAGAAAATTTTTCTTTACATGTTTTGAGGAAGGGAAATAATAGTGATACCTTCCTCGTTCTCTAAATCTGGAAAAGAAAAATCAAATCTCAAT